GGAGACAGCTATGAACACAAACTTTCCAAAAAACCTCTCTGCCATCGGGTCAACGTTGACCAGAGGCACGACAAAGGAGGTACAGCAGCAAAACCGACACCCCAAGCATGAGACAGATCTGTGTAACTCCCAGCCCACAGAGCAAAGAAAGCTAAATGACTTCAGGCAGGGAGCTGACTAGTGCGATGAGGTGTCTGCAGGCTCGTACTTGGGGGATCTAGGTTTTCTGACGCATGGAGTTACAGCTTGTCTTCAGAGTGAAGCTGATGGTAGATTGGAGCACCCTTTGAGAAATTACTGGCACCACTGAAACAGCTTTGTAACATGGTCTGAAGCAATAACATGAAAAACAATAAAAGGAATCAAAACGCGAACTGTGGTTCTTTGAAAGGATTAATGAAACTGACAAACAACTGAACATTTTAACCAAGGAAAAGAAGATTCAAATAATAAAAACGAATGAGATAAATTATGCTGCAGTAGAATCAACTGAAATTTGAAGGATAAACAGGATAATATGAAGAATTGTATTCTAACAAATGTGAAAACTTAGAAGAAATGGACAAATTTCTAGAAACACATTGCCTACCCAAACTTAAACAATCTCAAAACTTTGAATAGACCCATCACAAAAGAAGATATTGAACAGGTCATTAAAATAGTCCCCCAAATAAATTCCTGGCCCAGATGACTACAAAGGCAAATTCTACAAAACATTTAAAGAGCTGACACAAACTTTACTCAAACTATTTCATAACATCAAAAAGAGTAGAATTAATTCTATAAAGCATTACCCTGATACCAAACCAGGCAGAAGCACCACTAAAAATGTATAGACCAATATCTCTCATGAACATAAAGGCAAAAATTCTCAGCAAAATCTTTAGCTAATAGAATCCAACAACATTACCTTTATCAGTAAAGGGTTTGTGTCAACTTGGCTACACCAAGAGTCTCAGAGATTTGGCAGTTAAGAGATAGTAGTCCTTAATGATGAGATTTCTTCATGTCATGACATGCTTCCAATATAAGTAAATGCTGTGGAAAAGCTTCCTGGCTTTTGGCTGGATCTGGATCCTGCATCTGGCTCATTGACCCCTACTTCTTTAAACTTGAGCCAACAGCCTATTGTATTGCCTGCGGATGCTGGGAAAAGTTAATAGCCTACCATTTTACCTGCCGACCTTGGATTCTTTTGCCTCTGCAGATACAAGCTTTTTATCTTTCTGCCAATCTTGGGTTCATCAGCTCTTGCAGTAGGTAAATCAGGAGAAGTGTCGAGCCTCACATTTAACCCATATTCTTAGAACTTGCCTGGACTCAGAATTTATCCACTTTCACAATTGTGTGAGCCATTTTCTTTTTTTCCCCCTTTTTAAAACCATTTTATTGGGGGCTCGTACAACTCTTACCACAATCCATCCATCCATTATGTCAAACATATTAGTACATTTGCTACCATCATCATTTCAAAACATTTTCTTTCTACTTGAGCCCTTGGTATCAGCTTCTCATTTTTTCACCTCCCTCCTCCCTAACCCTTGATAATTTAGAAATTATTATTTCTTCATATCTTACACTGACCGATGTTTCCCTTCACCCACTTTCTGTCATCCATCCCTCTGGGAGAGGGTTATATGTAGATCATTGTGATCGGTTCCCCCTTTCTCCCCGCAGCTTCCCCTTGCCCTCCTGGTATCACCATTCTCACTGTTAGTCCTGAGGGGGTTATCTGTTCTGGATTTCCTGTGTTTCCAGCTCTTACCTGTACCAGTGTACATGCTCTGGAACTAGAGGAAAGTTGTATGTACTGCACCCTGACTGGCTCATCTCCTCCCTGCGACCCTTCTGTAAGGGGATGTCCAATTGCCTACAGATGGGCTTTAGATCTCCACTCCACACTCCACCTCATTCACAATGATAGGATTTTTTGTTCTGGGTCTTTGATGCCTGACACCTGATCCTGTCGACACCTCATGATCAAACATACTGGTGTGCTTTTTCCATGTGGACTTTGTTGCTTTTTAGCTAGATGGCTGCTTGTTTATCTCCAAGCCTTTAAGACCCAGGCTACATCTTTTGATAGCCGGGCACCATTGGCTTTCTTCACCACATTTGCTTATGCACCCATTTGTCTTCAGAGATTATGTTGAGAATGCAAGCATCATGGAATGCCAGGTTATAAGAAAAAAGTGTTTCTGTGTTGAGGGGGTACTTGAGTAGAGGTGAGCCATTTTCTTGATATAAATCCTTCTCTATATAGGTTTCACTGATTTTGCTTTTCTGCAGTGTGAGACAATATCAATAATAATAATAATAATACATCACGACCAAGTATAATTTATACCAGATTTTCCAGGATGGTTCAAGATGATCAAAACAATCAATATAATCACCACAAAATAAAACACAGAAAAGAATCACATGACCCTATCAATTGATTAAGAAAAGGCATGAGACAAAATCCAACACACATTTTTTTATTAAAAAAAGACTAAAATATGAATAGAAGGGAAATTCCAAAACACAATTAAGCACATACACACAAAAAACAACAGCCAGTTTTTCTCTCAATGGCAAGAGGTTGAAAGCATTCTCCTTGAGAACAGGGACCAGAGGAAGACACCTTTTAGCACTCCTATTCAGTATTGGACGGAAAGCCCTAGCCGGAGCAGTTAAGACACGAAAAGGAACTAAAAGGCATATAAATTGACCAATAAGAAGCAAAACTATCTCTATTTGCAGAAGATCTGATCGAAACATAAACCATCTGAGACTCAGCAAGAAAACGACTACTAACTTGTACTCCTAAAGGGAAGGTGCAGCACTATGGCAGGCTACCAAATCAACACACAAAAATCAGACAGATTCCTTCATGTCAACAAAGATAATTCTGAAAAAAAGATACCAAGAAAAAAATACCATTTGCAAGAACCATGCAAAACCATGCAAAAGATAAAATACTTAAGAATAATTCTGACTAGAGTAACAAAGACCTATATCCAGAAAGCTACCAAATAATACTAGAAGAGAGCTACATAATGGAAGAATTTACCATTCTCATAACTGGGAAGACTTAATATTGTGAAAATGGCATAACTACCCAAATGGATCTACAGCTATAATGCAATCCTGATCCAGATTCCAACATTATTCTTTAAAGAGGTATAAGAACTAATCAACAACCTTATAAGTAAAGGAAAGAGACCAGGTAAGCAAAGCATGCCTTATGCAGAAGAAAAAAGTAGGAGGCCTCTCATTTCCTCATCCAAAAACCTACTCTACAGCACAGTAGTCGAAACAGCCCGGTGCTGGTACAATGACAGAGACAGAGACCAATGGGACAGAATTTAGAATCCAGATCCAGAAGTAAATTCATCCATCTACTGTCAACCGATCTTTGACAAAGAATTAAAACCCATTAAGTGAGGAAGAGTTAGTTTTCTTAACAACAACAACAACAACAGCAAAACACCTAGAAAACCCACTGTAATTTAGGCCATTCCACCTCATACTCATTCTACACAGGATTCCCAAGGCTGTCAATACTTAATGAAGCAGATAGCTTGCTCTCTCTCAGGCAAAGTGCTTGGTGGATTTCATCTGCCAACCTCGTAGGTAGCAGTTTAACACTCTCTTGACGGTACCACCAGGTCTCCTTAACAAGTCAACTTACAGGAGCCATACTTTCACCATGTACAAACAGACACGATGAATCTCAAACCTCAAGCTACAAATATGATCAGAGAATAAAGGAAAGGCAATAATACTTGACACAAATACACTAGCAAACGTATCTAAGAAGGTACAAAGAGCAGAAGACAATCGATGGATGGGATTTCCTAAAAGACTAGCTATGTGTATGCACCGAGAGCCTTCACAAAGAGAGGAGGAAGACAGCCGATGAACTGGGGAAACGTTTTTGGTAATAACATCAGATGATTTATGGACAATTTCAACACCTCAAAAAGAACACACACCCAATGAAATAATAGGCAGAGGGCATGAACAGACATGTCAACAAGGAAGATCCCCAGCCGTCCAAAAATATACGAGGGGAAAAAAAAGGTGTGATATCACACGCTCTATTAGTAGCTAATAGCTTGGTATTTCAAACCTACCTAGGCCTGTCAATATGCGTCCAAATCAACTCAATAGCTACTAACAACAATGGCATTACCTTATATTTACTGTCGTGTTGACTTCTTGTTTTCAATCCTGTATATTTTATGCCCAACAGTACCTACCAAAAAAACCAAACTCACTGGCATTGAGTCAATGCTGACCCAGAGGGTCACTAGAGGACAGGGTAGAACTGCACCGTGTGAGTTTCTGAGACTGTCACTGTAAACGGGAGTGGAAAGTCTCCTCTCTCTCCCAGCAGCTCTGCAGAAGAAATCCTGGAGATTTTCTGCAAAGATTACACACACCCAAAACCAAAACAGTCGCCAAGAAACCCCCCAGCAGGGCGTAGTTCTACTCTCTGCCACATGGCGTCGCCTCATTCTCAACCATTCTAGAACAATTAACGTATTTTAAAATACAACAAACACACATATATCTGCTTTTTAATGATTAATAAAAATACTTTGGAAAGAGAAAATAATTAAGCAAGTATATAAATATATAGAGTATATGTACTTGCTTAATTATTATATATTTGTTTGTATAGATATATATAAACAAAGCATCCCTCTTCCCTGACCAAGTACCCCTACAACACAGACTTTTGAAATATTCTCAACTTTGTTAACATTTCTGCCTCCTGCTCTATTTTATTGGAGGGATCAAGACACCTCAGCCAACATTCAAAGAAAAAACATGCTGTTTTCTAAACTGGGTGTGGAGCAACCACGGGCTTTTCCTCCCCCTGATCCACAAGCTGATTTCCTGACTTTTTAAAACTAGTGAAATCACCAGAGGCTGTGCTTTCGGTTTCGGTTCTCATCCTGGCCCTTAACTGGCTGCCTGCTGCCGGCCCTGGCTTCTTCACTCGCTCCCAGCGTTGGCGGAGAGCAGGGGCCTTCCGAGTTCCCCTCCTGAGGCGGAAAGGAGAGCGAGCGCTCAGCGCCGCAGAAGGCGCCTGAGAAATTGCCCACTGGCCACATCGAGCGCCCCAGGTAAGGCCTTTCCAAAATCTCTGTCTTCCGTGCTCATGTCTGGTCACTCATCACACTTTCCCAGGCAGACCCCACGGGCTCGACTTGGAGGAGAGGTGGCGCGTGGCTGGCTGCTATCAGACCCAGAGCGCTTTGTCCACGCAGCGCAGCGTCGCCCTTTTAACCACAGGGGCCAGGGGTCAAAAGCGCTGGTTCCAAGTCCCTAGGAGACATCGCTCTTTCTTCAGCCTGAAACAGAGACTCCGGGGTGGGAGATGCAAGCATGCATCCTACTGGCATCTCCAGAAAGGGACCATCTCACAAAAGAGGAACCACCTTCCAGGGGAAGTTTCCTTCTGGCTCTCTCTTCCCTCCCTCAGCTGGCCAGACCGACCCTTGCCTGGCACTAGAGAAAGACAAAAAGATTGCCCTCATCTTCCAGATCATTTAAATCTTAAAATATTGCATTTTACTTACTTTGATATTAAACACAGTGACTGTTCCAAAACGTTGCAAAGCTGCGTTTCTATGGCACAATCCGCCTTCTCTCTAATATTAAAAATAACTATGAGCCCTAACCCGTACCTAGTGCATTGTTTCTAAATAGCTGGTGATATTTACTGAAAATACATTCTTGGACCATTTTCACAATTGTTACTTAGTTTGAGCCCATTTGGGGAGCCACAGTGTCTGTCTTGTTAAGAGCCCTCTTCCTCGTCTCCACCCTCTGCTTCACCGAGCTCATGGTTCTCAAGGCAAGTGGTTCTCTTGAGGCAAAAATAGATGAGACCAAGTCTAGCCACTTTGACTTGTAAGGAGCATTCTGCTTGTATTTCTTCCAAGAAAAACTTGTTTGTTCTTCTTGAAGACGATGCTATTTTCAATATTCTCCCCCAACACCATCAGGCAAATGCCTGCCTTCTTCAGCAGTCTTCTGTGTCCATGGCCCGACGTCACATGCATATGGGTGCATGCCTTGTGTCAGGAGCAGCCTGATAGCTTCACTCTCTAAATCTATTCTCATCAAGGTTGGTGATCATTCCCATTGTTTCTTTCTCAGGGAGGGCTTCTCTGATGACCCCATACAAGCCAACACTCCTATTTCTCGCCTTTGCTTATTTTACTCCAGAGCACTTACCAAAAGATATAAACAAGTTTTTCTTTATTATCTGTCTCTCTTACTAAAATAAAGCTCCCACAATGCATACATTTATATCCAGCTTGTTCACAGCTGCATTCTGAGCCCTGAGAATAGGGGCCAGTCCATGATAAGTAATCAGTAGATGCTTGCTGAATTAATGAGAGACCGAGTCCTGTGGACACTGCTAGAACCTTTTATGATGACCCTTTTCCTCCTTCATGTCCACTCTGCCTTTTATACACCCACCAAATGCCAGGGTTCTCCGAGGCCCATTATCCTCTTGCTTTGCTTATTCCATTTATTTTATGCATCACCTGAGCTAGGTTCTCTTAAAGCTCTTATAAGCATTACTAAGCTACTACATAGAAGGCATCTATACCAGCCCTTGAAATGGAAGACACATACTTATATTTCAAAATGTAGGAAGTTGATCCACAACTTCCACAAACAAAAAAATGATATGCACATCCCTTGAATAACAATTAGATGTGACAAGGGGCCTTGTGTTTTACAGAGAGAATCTTCTGGTTTGCAGGAACCATGACGTCCATTCCCATCATGACTGCCCCCATTTGTTTGATTGAAAACCAGCAAGAAGAGCTAACTGTGAACCCCAAGGCATTAACGATTCTTAACAAGATTTCTCAACCAGCAGTGGTGGTAGCCATTGTAGGGATGTATCGGACAGGAAAATCCTACCTGATGAACCGCCTTGCAGGACAGAACAATGGTGAGTATTGTCTTGGAGGAGGGGGCCATGGGTTTGGCATCAACACTAACAGCCGGCTCCTCTAGGGCATAATAGGGTTTCCAATGGCTGATTTTTACGCAATGGATGTTAGACCTTTGTTCCAAGGCATCTCTGGATGCTGTCAGCTGAGAAATGAGCTGTGTGCATGAATTTCCATCACGATAGGGGAGGTTGAGCACCTTTTCACACATGTCTTTACCATTTATAGTTCATATTTTGTCACCTTTTTTCCCTGCTGAGTTATCATCTCCTTTGGTTCTCATTGATTTTCAAAGAATTGCCACTGGTCCTTCCAAGAGGATCTTGCATCCATTTGTTCCTAATACCTGGCTTCCTTCGAGCACAACTAGGGATTCAACTGCCAAGTCCAGTAAACTTCTCTTTGTCTCGAAGTTTCATTTTTCCTCCCTGTTCTTCCGTGTCTCCTTGTCCATCTCAGGTTCCCTGTCTCCTTCCTTCCATCTTCATTCCCCCCCTTTTCCTCCAGTCTTCTCCTGACTTCTAAGCAAATATTTTGTCTTCATGTTTTACACGAGGAGAGTTCTTGCCTATTACTATAGAAGGAGGACATTTTCCCCTGTCTGGCCCAAGTAAATCCATAGGGGTAGTTTTTAATGGATTATAGTTCAGAACCTCAAGAGACAGAGTTCAACAACATCCTTTTGTTTTCCAGTCACGATAGCATCAGCTAATAACCGGGCGATTTCCCAACACTCTGCTAAGAATGTGCCTGTCCTCCAAGTGTCTTAAAATATATGAATTGTGACTCTGTATGACAATGGACCGGAAACAAATAGCTCTCCTCTCAGCCTCCTTCAAGTATATGAGTACATACATGTCATATTTTCCCTTTTCTCGCAAGCATCAAATCCACAGTTTCCATGAATTCTGCAGTATGATGTACTCTGAGTCTGTAAGGAATAAGGTGAGCAGAGGATACAAACGGTGTCTTGAGAAGCATCTGAATGTAGTTACTACTGTCCCTGCCAGATACTTCGCCTTCCTTTCGATTGATCCCTTACAGCTCCTGGGGACTACCAGGACGACTAGCAGACCGCCTGTTGTCGCTGACATTGCTTTCTCCTCCTCCCTCCAGGCTTCCCTCTGGGCTCCACGGTGAGGTCTGAAACCAAGGGCATCTGGATGTGGTGTGTGCCCCACCCCACCAAGCCGGAGCGAACCCTGATCCTGTTGGACACGGAAGGCCTGGGCGATGTGGAAAAAGTAAGGCCGGGAGTCACGGAGAAATGGTCTTTCCTCTTGGCTTCCTATTTATCTTTTCCTTGCCACATTAATTCAATTTGGGTGATATATTTTGATAATTAGGGGTGATAGAGTGACATTTTGTTTTTGGGAACTTAATTCCTTTGCAAGCAAAAGTGTTATTGGTATGTTAAGAATAGATCTTTCGTTTAACACAGGGATGAATAAAAATGCTAATAAATACTTTGAGAGCTTGTTATAGGGTGCAGAGGTGAGGATAGAACCCAGGCTTATGGGTGAGACGATGGTCCTTAGGACCTAAATGAGGTATGTAACGGATGGAGCGGATGGGATTGGAAATGAAATCTGAAACTAGGGTTCAGTGAATTCATCTATTTAAATAACCTTCAGAGACATTTCAGCTAACCTGAATAGTCAAAAAGGTTTTGTTGCAAATCTTTGAGCTTTGGAGATTAATTCTTCACTTAGCGTTTCCATGACCTAGCGGTCTAGGTGTTAGCCTGCTAGCTGAAGGGTAAGTGGTTAAAGCCACAGGTTGCTCCACAGGAGAAAGATGAGGCTTCTGTTTCTATAAAAACTCACAGTCTCAGAAACCCTCTCACTGCTATTGACTGGATTCCGACTCACAGCGGCCACGTAGGACAGGGTGGAACTGCTTCTGGGTTTCTGAGACTGTAACTCTTTCTGGGGGTAGAAAACCTCATCTTTCTCCTGCTGGTCGATACTGCTACCATTACGTGCCATCGAGTCCATGATGACCCAGAGTGACCCTATGCACAACACAACCAAACACTGCTCAGCCCTGCCCCATCCTCACAATTGTTCCTACAGCGGAGTCCATTGTTGTAGTCATTGTCAAGTCAATCCATCTCATTGAGGTCCTTCCTCTTTTCCGCTGCCTCTCCACTTGACTAAGCACGATGTCCTCCAGGGACCGGTCTCTCCTGATAACACGTCCAAAGTATGTAGGACAAAGTCTCGCTATCCTTCCTCTAAGGAGCACTCTGGCCGTACTTCTTCCAAGACAGATCCTTTTGTCCTTTTAGTAGTCCATCATACTTTCAACATTCCTCCCCAGCACCGCAATTCAAATGCATGGACTCTTCTTCGTCTGCCTTATTCAGTGTCCAGCTTTCACAGGCATGTGAGGCGATACAAAATACCATGGCTTGGCCCAGGCCTACCTTAGTCCTCAAAGCAACATCCTTGCTTTTCAATTCTCTGGAGAATTGAAAAGGTAAATCTGTGCAGCAGATTTAACAAATGCAATTCGCCTTTTGATCGCTTGACTGCTGCTTCCATGGGTGGCTATAAGGGGCCTTGGGGTGTAGTGGGTAATATGTTGGGCTGCCAACCCCAAGGCCAATATTTTGAAAGATGAGGATTTCTACTCCTGTAAAGATTTACCCTCTCAGAACTCCATAAGGGAGGACTTAACCTGTAGGGTCACTGTGAGTCCGAATTCACTTGAGGGTGGGGAGGTGGTTTTGTTATGGGTTGCTCTGAGTCAGAATCAAGTCCATGGCAGTGGGTTTGGCTTTGAGGTTAGATTTTCTATGAAACCAGGAACGTGCCCCACAAGATTGAAGCACATTGTTTTTATGATATTAGGCACAGCAAATCATTTCACTTATTTGTATTATCCTATCCACCACCGTGAATCTAAATTGGAAGCAGTCCCCATAGATCTGTGGCGATCACTACTTCCAAAAGCAGCAACAAAAAACGGAGTATTTACTCTACATCTCATTTCCAGCTTCAGCTTCCATTTCTACAAGCTGTCCCCCGCTTTAGTCAAATGGGATAAATCTAGAATACCTCTCCAGAGCAGATACGTTCCAACATGTCTGACTTAATTTGTGTTGGTTTTGATACCTGTGTGATCAATCCCTTATCTTCTCACATTCTTATTCTATCAATTTTTTAAAAGACCTGCTGCTAGCCTCCAATGCCAGTCAAATAATAGTCACTTGCAGTAAACCCATAAAACACCTGTTCCTTACCCGTTTTGCTTTTACACTATGACTACTTGGTCACTCCTGGCAGAGAACACAATCTTAATTGCATTCATACGTTTGCATGCTTTATGGCCTCTCCAGAAAATCATCTTTCTGGAGTTCAGGGAAACCATATGGATCTTTGTCTTTACACAGAAAATAGCACTTGGGCTTTGTGGATGCCCCGGGAATAGTTGTTTAACTCAATGGGGTAGCATTTCAGCCTAAGAGGTCAGGTGGCACAACGATTCAAGTGCGCCACTGCTAACCCAAAGGCCAGTGGTCCAAACCCACACGCCACATTAGGGGGACTATGTGGCAGTGTGCTTCCATAAAGGCTTCCAGCCTCGGGACAGTTCCACTCTGCCCCACAGTTACTTCCAGTAGGAATTGACAGAATGGGCTGGGATCGGTTACTCGTATCCTTAAGACAGCACTTGAGGAAGGACAACTGTCAAAGGTATTTTTTCCCCTTTGTGCACTTTCTAGAGGTCAATGTAAATGCAAAATAAGAGGTTTGCATGTAGTATTGTTTCCAAAGCTCAGACTATTTTCCCTAATCAGCAACAGTCTAGCTGAAACAGTGAATGCTCAGACCAAATGAATGAAGAGTCAACTCCCCAGTCCCTTGTTCACGTGTGTTTTCTAGGTGGACTCTAAGAATGACTCGTGGATCTTTGCACTTGCTGTACTTCTGAGCAGCACCTTTGTCTACAACAGCATGAGCACCATCAACCACCAGGCGCTGGAGCAGCTGCAGTATCCTTCCAGGGACCCAACCGAGCATCTTGGGCTTAGGGAATGACAACTGAGACGATTTCCTTTCCTTGTAACTCAGTTGTCGTGAGGAGGGAACACAGGGCAACAGAGGATGTTTATAAAAGCTACTTCTAAGTCTGACCTGGGAAGGGTGGTGTAGAGGACTCCCGCTTCCTTAACGGCGTTCCCAGCTATGTGACTGAACTGACAGAGCTAATCAGGGCAAAATCCTCCTCTCGATCTGACGAGATCAAGGACTCCACCGAGTTTGTGAGTTTCTTTCCAGACTTTGTTTGGACAGTTCGGGATTTTACACTGGAGCTGAGGTTGGAATGCGACATCACTGAAGATGAGTACCTGGAGAATGCCTTGAAGCTGATTCCAGGTAGCCCTGCATGATCCCAGGGGGAGTGGGTGACCCAGGAAGGGGTGCTAGCCAGTGATCCCTGTCATTCGGCATTTAAAATCACTATATAGTTAGATTGAGGCCCAAGAAAATAGTGAGAGGAGGATATGATTTTTATAGGTTATTATATCTGAAAATATCTGGGGCTAAAGTTTAAGGCCCCTCATGAAATTTAGAACCAAATATTCGACGGAATGATTGCAAACAGCTGGTATCCTAAATTAAAAATTATAGTGATGCCATAACCTTGAACGTTATAACATTTTACCATCAGTGCTACAATAAACTTGTAGACTAGTGTTCTTTCTGACGTGTCTTAAGAATTCATAAAATTGGAAGTTGTTAGACACAGAAGCATAATAAATTCCAATGACTTAATTTAAAAAATTTCTTTCGTGTGTTGCTTGACTCCAGGCGCCCTGGTCGTGCAGGCCAGCCTGCTCATTCACACGGAGTCAGTGAGTGCAGATCAGCTCTCGGCTGCAGCAGCCATCTCTGTGGCTGCCCTCGATAGATACAGCCCTCGGACAAAAGACAGGGAAACCTGTCAGAGCCACAATTTGACTGGGTGGGGACTGCCTTGTTTTTCAGCATCTTTCAAGTTGTGCACCCTTGATACAGTACACTATTACGACTTTTCTATTGCTTGTTTTACTGGAAAATGTTTCCTCCGGAGGCAGGTTCCAGCTTGTAGGTTTTACTGATCAGTAAAGGGTCCAGAAAAAAAATACAGAGGTAGCCTTTCGGGGTGAATGTCAAATCCTCTGTTTTATCTTTTCCTTAACATTACACACATCGTTGTACATGCTTACATATGTTAGCGTTTGCTATTATAGATCTGATACATAGATTAAGTTAAGGAGGTGGCTAACTGATAGCAATAGAAGGAATATCCATTTAATTTGTTCAGCAAACACTGATTGAATGGTGGATGTTGGACATAGAATCCATCTGCAAGGCACAGTTAAATTCACTGGAGAAGTGGTGAGGTCTCCTAATCACATTTAAGTTAAGCCTACTCATTGGAGACTTTTGCTCAAAGATTATCTACATTTATTTATGGTGTGAGTGTTTGGGAGCTCTTATGCTTCTAGCTTTTCTTCCCCTTATGATATTTTCTAAGCCACATCTTATCCTTATGTCAAGTGTCACTTTGTTTTTAAGTTCACATTCTATTGCTGACCGGAGGAGAGTAAGGTCAGCCACGTTCTTCTGATGATTTATTTCCACATGCCAGTCACTCAATGCATCATTGCTAAGAGACTCTACACAGCCTGCGGAAACCAAGCATGTGTTTGTTCCCCGGGGGTGGATGCTCCCCTATCCTCTTCATAACTGCTTCCTTGACTCTGCATTGTCCACAAATGGACACCACCCTCTTTGAGGTAGAAGGGCCCAAGATTGATTTGCATGACTAGATACAAGGAGATTTAATGACAGAGAAGGCAATCATGCCAATGGTCCCTGGAAATAGAGGTTGACAGACCCCTTTACAGAATGCTATCCCTTAATGGACTGCTCTTTCCACATCTACAGGCACGAATCTCAGAATCAAAAATTCCAATCTGCCTAGAGAGTGTATCAGAAAATTCTTCCCCAAACGGAAGTGCTTTGTTTTTGATCGGCCTACAAATGACAAGCGTCTCTTGGCCCATATTGAAGAAATTCAAGAAGAGCAACTGGATTATAATTTCCGGATGCAAACAAAAAACTTCTGTTCCTATATCTTCAGCCAAGCAAAGATCAAGACCCTCAGACGAGGGATCATTGTCACTGGGAACCGTGAGTCACTTTTGTCCCTGAGCCTCAGTGGGCGCTCTGAAGCGGGTTTGTGTTCTGGGGGCTTCTCATTAATTTTGTTTGGTTTTGCATGTGAGTATGGAGGAGATGTGCACGCCACACATAGTAGTGTATCTTCTGTAAGGGTTTCCTGTCTACTTGAAGGCTTAGCTAGGCCAGCTCTATCTCAAAAAACACTCCACGAATCGTCTAGATCCAGGAAAGAACGTGTGGGTTGCCTGGACAACGCCTATGGAAGCAGCACGTCTTCCGATGGAGAAGGTTCTCTGTAAAGTTAAATGAGCCAGAAAATACGTAGCAGGCCATGAACACCAGGAAGTCCATTGAGATGAAAGAAAATTGACCACAGCCAATGGACAGCTCTGTGCCACTGGCCGTGTCACCTGGGCAGTCAGTTGTGCAGTTTCTGTGCCGGAGGGGGATGCATTCTTGGGTCAATCCCTGGTATGGCTATCTTGTAATGGTTTGGGTTTTTTCTTATTATTTTTTAAAGAACCCGCATTTTCATTTGGAGCCAGCCCTTTAGATTATGTAGCTACCTGACTTATCTAAATAAAATATTTCTTTTTTTAATACATACTTTTCCTTTTATTTAAGTAAAGCATTTTTTTCCAGGGAAGCCTGGAAAATGTATTGATTATGAGCAGTAATCCAGTTTTGTATCATAAGGAAATGGAAGACCATAAAAGAAATAAACAAACAATGGGGAAATGATGTTACTGTAAAGAAAGCATTAAAAAAGAAATGGTAGAAACGTTCTACTTAAATCTAGAATGCAGAACACTAAAGGTTTGTTTTGTTTTTCCAAGCAAGTGACAGCTTGATATTGATCCCGAAATCACTTTGTTTACTTAGGACTGGGGGCTCTGGTGGAGACCTATGTGGGTGCGATCAACAGTGGAGCGGTCCCGTGCTTGGAGAACGCAGTGACCACCCTGGCCCAGCGTGAGAACTTGGCGGCTGTCCAGAAGGCGGCTGAGCTCTACAGCCAGGAGATGGCCCAGCACCTGGTGTTCCCCACGGACACTCTGCAGGAGCTGCTGGACGTGCACGGGGTCTGCGAGAAGGAAGCCGTTGCTCTCTTCATGGACCGCTCCTTCAAGGATGAAAACCAGGAGTTCCACAAACAGCTCGTGGTACGTGTCTCACTCGTGGCTTCCCTGATTCCTGTTCTGGCACACTCATGCCTGGCACACTCATGCCTAGAGTCCACCTTTTGGCCCCATGCTTCTTGTGTTTCATGTAGTGGATGGGCACCATGCCCCCTCAGAAATGCAGTCCATTTCTTTTCTAGAAGACAGACACTTTGTTTCTTGTTTCTTTATAACAAATTTCCATGAACTTAGCATTTATAGAGTTACTTGCTCATTGTTAAAAAACTTTTTATTTCAGAGCATTAATGCAGAGTGTACTGACTCTCTTCTAGAGTTTTAGAAGTTAAAATAGCGAGCTGTGACTGGGCTGGTTCTGCATTGGAGGCTTTAGGCAATCCCCTTCCACATTCGTGCCAACATGATTCAACGAATCATTCTCCTGTTTCTAATCTCTCCAACTTCCTCTTCTCTTAACAGTTGGAAAACTCTACTTTTAAAAGGGTCATATAATTAGGTAATGCCCGGTTGTATACTCTCCATTACTTAAAGACAGCTTGTGCTATGCAATATAACCCAATTTGGGGAGCAAACTCTATAACCTTAAAGATCTCAAGGACTATAAAGCAAGTGGATACCAGATATCTTGGGGGACATTTTTATTTGGCTGACCCATAGACATCTTCAAGGAAAACTTATCTCTCACTCTATCTTTTGCCAACAAGTGACAAAAATCTCTTAGTGACGTTGAATAAAGCCATTTGGATTGTTTAAGTACAAGCAAAAAAAATGCTCCTATGTCATCACCCAATAAAATCCTACTTGAGATACTCCATGCAGGCTTCTAAAGTCTGTTCAGAGTACCTTTATCTCTTGGCTGGTTAGGCTGTTTTTTCATGATTACATTTTTCCATAGCAACCGGAATTCTCTGAAGAAACTGTCCTTCCTGCCAAATTCATGTTTCTGTTACCCATTGCACTTGTTGAATCACTGTGATCCACCCTATGCCACTTAAGACCTTAAGTTGATGTCATCCATGCCCATCATTTTATATAGAATGAATTAGACCCGTGTCAAACATAAATCACCTCATCTATGCAGAAGTTGTAAGCTTGCTTCTTTCAAGAGAATGACAGCTGGTTGAATTATCCCTTCTAATAGCTTCTTCCCTATTGTGTTTCTGTACACTTCCCTGCAGGGTACCATAGAGAAAAAGAAGGAGGATTTTGTACTGCAGAATGAACAGGCATCTGCGAACTACTGTCAGGCAGAGCTTACACAGCTTTCAAAGCCCCTGATGAAGAGTATTTCAGAAGGAGCATTCTCTGTTCCTAGAGGACACGGTCTCTATGTCGCAGCAAGGAGGAAGGTTGAACAGGACTATATGCACGTGCCCAGGAAGGGGGTTAAGGTGAGGAAGAGGGGAAGTGGAGGGAGGGCCTGCAGAAGAGCCTCGGTGAGCTCTTGTCCTTGTGATAACTCAAAGATCACTGTAATCGAGTGTGTTTAAAAAGGATTGTGACTTGACAGTGTTTACAGTCTTATAACTACAATTAGACAGAAACTCTTGAAAAAAAAAACTCCACAAATATGTATGGATTATAATCAGGAATCCCAATGAGAAAAAACATCTTTTCCATTTTTCAAACAATTTTGCACTAAGCGTCAAAAATGAAATCAACTTTTCTTGAGTTAAATCTGCCTAGTGGTGACCTGGTATGTATAAGAAGACAACTGTTCCATAGGGTTTCCAATGGCTGTGGTATTTCAGAGGTGGACCACCAGACCTTTCTTCCAAAGTACTTCTGGGTTGATTTGAACCACCAACCCTTTCTCCCTTTGTTTAGTAACCAAGCGTTTACTGTTTTTGCCCCTTAGCGTCTCCGATCTAAGTTTAAGCAGTGTAAAGTTAATGAAACAAACTTTGTTACTAAAGAAGTTCATGCTCATTTTGAGAAAGAGAAAAAATTAGTCATTCGATATGATGTGGTAAGGACCATCACAATGGTATGCACCAATGGTAAACAAGGAGGATAAAAATGATTACAATGGCTAGCAAAATTGAGCATTCACTTTTTCTACCAAACATGACCTCACATGATCTGGTTGGAGTATAGTTTAATCATCACAACAATATTATCTCATTTTATATATATATATTACATACCATATATGTGATGTTCTCATTATAAATATGTTTTATCTCATTATATATGCACGATATTCCACCACTTGACCATCATTTTGTCATAATATGATGGCTTAAATGTTGGTATGATGCTAGAAGCTATGCATTTCAAATACAAGTAGGGTCACTCAAGGTGAACAGAGTTGATGAGAGCTTCCAGACTAGAAGACTGTGGAGAATGAATAGGCTGACAACTTCTGAGAAATTAACCAAGGAAAGCATTCTTAAAAGCAGCAGAACCTGTCAGACACTGAGAATCTTACGAATAGCACTGGAGCATTGTCAGATGAAGCGGAAGTCCTTAGGAAGGAAAGCACTCACAACAGAACTGGAGAACAGCTGCCTTCTCAAGGTGAAGTCAGCCATAATGACGTGGTTGGAGTCAAACCTGAGAATGTAAAGCCTTTAGGACCTTCATTTGCTGATGGGGCATGACTCAAATTGAGAAGAAGAGGAGAGAAAGAAACAGCTGGAAACATCTATTAATAATTAGAACTTAGAATGTACGAAGTATGAATCTAGGAAAACTGGAAGTCGTCAAAAGTGAAATGGAACATACAGAGATAGATATCTTATTAGTGAGCTGCAATGGACTGGAACTGCCATTTTGAATCTAACAGTCATATATGATTTACTCTGTCAGGAATGAAAATTTCAAGAGGAATGACATCCCATTCATTGTCAAAAAGGACATTTCAAGATCTATCTTGAATTACAATGCTCTCTGTGACAGGATAATATCCATCCACACACCAGGAAATCCAGTCAATAAAGCTATTGTTCAAATTTATGCACCAACCACTAAAGCTAATGGTAAAGAAGCTGAGTAATTTTAAGCATTATGATGCATTGTTAATCATTGGTGATTGTAATGCAAAAGTTGAAAACAAATAGTAAGGAACAGTAAAACAAAGGGAGGGAAAAAAATTTTTTAAACAGCACAAGAGGCAACTAGACACATGGTTTTCTCCAGCTAGAATACACAGAAATCAAATTGACTACAGCTCTGGGAAGCAACATGCTAAAATGAGGCCAAGAGCAAACTGTTGGCATGGTCTCGGCCATCAATTGCTCATAGGTAAGTTCAGGTTGAAATTGAAGAAAATGAACACAAATCCAGGATAGCCAAAACACGACTGGGAGTCTATCCCACCTGAATTTCAAGGACAGATTTGACACATTCAGCCTGAATGACAGTAAGCCAGATGAGCTGTGGGATGACATCAAGAATACCATATATGAAGAAAGCTAAAGATCACTAAAAATACAGGAAAGAAAGTAAAGATCAAAGTGAATGTCAGAAAAGACTCTGAAACTTGCTCTTAATCTAAGAGAAGCTAAGGCATATGAAACAATGATGAAGTCAAAGAGCTGAACGGTACATTTACCAGGGCAGCTTCAGAAGACAAAGCAAAATATTATAATGAAATGTGCAAAGACCTGGATTTAGAAATGCTACATGGAAGAACATACTCAGCTTTCCAGAAGTGGAAAGAACTAAGAAAAAACTCAAGCCTCAATTTGTAAATTGAAAGATTCTATGAACAAAATATTGAATGATGATGATACAGGAAGTCTTAAAAGCTGATGGAAAGAATACAGAGTCACTGAATGAGTCAACAGTCAACCATTTCAAGAGGTAGCATTTGATCAAAAGCCAAATGGTGGTACTGATGAAAGAAGTCCAAACCATACTGAAAGTATTAGCCATACATAAGGCTCCAGGAATTGACAGAATACCAATTGAAATGCTTCAACAAACTTATGAAACACTGAAAGCACTTACATCTATGCCAAGAAATTGAAAAGAAAGTTATTTGGCTGATTAATTTGAAGAGATCTGTAATTGTACCCATTCCAATGAAAGGCGACCCAACATATTGCAGAAGTTATTGAATGTAATTGATATTGCATGAAAATAATGTTTCACTAAAGATCATCTAACAACAGTTTCAGCATTACATGGACAGCCGAGGTGCTAGAAACTTAGGCTGGAGTCAGAAGAGGAGGTGCAACAAGGGATATCATTGCTGATGTCAAATTGATCTTGAGTGAAAGCACAGAATATCAGAAAAAATGTTTGCTTCTGTTGTATTGACTATGCTATGATATTAGACTGTATGGACTATAACAAGCCATGGATAGCTTTGAGATGAATGAGAATTCCAGAAAACCTCATTGTGGTCATGTAAAAACTGTACCTGATCAAGATGCAGTTGTGCAAACAGAACAATGGAATGTAGCATGGTTTAAAATCAAGACAGTTGTGTATCAGGGTTGTATTTTTCATCATATTTATTCAATTTCTTTGCTAAGAAAATAATCCGAGAAGCTGGAATATTTGAATAGTGCGGGATCAGGATTAGAAGACTTATTAACAGCCTGCAATATGCAGATGATACAGCTTTGCTTGCTGAAAGTGAGGAGGGCTTGGAAGCATTTGCTGATGAAGATGGAGAATTGCAGCCTTCAGTATGGAGTACAAGTTAATAGAAAGAAAGAACAGAAGAAAGAACAAAAGAATGAAAGAAAGAGAGAGAGAGAGAGAGAAAGAAAGAAAGAAAGAAAAAGAAAGCAAGAAACCATACCTGGGCCAGTAAGTAACATCTGTTAAAAGGAGAAAAAATTGAAGTTGTCAAGGATCTTGTTTTGCTTGGATTCACAATCCATGCATATTGAAGTAGCAGTGAAGAGATCAAACAACACATTTCTTTGGTTAAATCTGTGGCACAAGACCTCTTGAAACTGATGAAATGCAAGAAAGCTACTTAGAGGACTAAAGTGTGCCTGATCAAAATCATAGTATTTCCAATCACTCCATGTGCATGTCAAAGTTGGACATTGAATAAGGAAGACCAAAGAAGAATTGATGTGTTTGAATTATAGTGCTGGAAAAGAATCTTGAAAATACCACGGACTCCCAAAAGAATCAATCAATCTGTCTTGGACGAAGTATAGACAAAGGACCCCTTAGAGGCAAGGATGGCATGTTGGCCATGTTCAGGACAGACCAGTCCCTTGCAAGGTTATCATGATTGGTAAAGTAGAGGGGGACAGCAGAAAAGACCCTCAAGGTGATAGAATGACACAGTCGTTGCAACACTGGGCTCAAACATAAGAACAACAGTGAGGGTGGTGCAGGACCAGGCCATGTTTTGTTTACTGTACCCAAGGTTACTGTGACTCCGACCTGACGTGATAACATCAAACAACAACTATTACCCACATTACACAGTTGAAAAATATGATACACAGAGATTAGTTGCTCAGGATCGCATCGCAGATGGCAGAGCTAGGAGGGCACCTCAGAGTATGTCATGTCTATTCCAAACAGGGAATCCTAGGAAAGCTTGCAAGAAGAGACAAAAGAAGTACGGAGGAGACCATCCTACTTAACAAAGAATAGGATATCATCCAGGAAGAAGAAAAATATGCAAACATATGAAACAACAGCTATTAAGTGGTTGTAGAACTATTCAAAATCCGATTGGGTGTTGACGGGAGAGGAGTCTGAGGAGATAGGAAGAAAGATCTAAGGGAGGGTTGTTTTGCCCCTAATGGGATTGGAAAGTACACTATACTCACTTAAAGAAAGGAAGCTCTGGGATGTCTGAGGCAGGTTTCAAAGTACTTGGGGACAGATTTGAGGTTTTATGGCACAGTGAGACCCCTACCTGAAACTAGATGCCTGTTGCTCAACATGTCTTTGCACCTCCTTTCCTCAGGCAAATGAAGTCCTTCAGAGATTCTTGCAGTCACAAGCACCAATAGAGGAATCGATCTTGCAGTCAGATAAAGCCCTCACAGACAGAGAAAAAGCCATAGCAGGTACGGGCTGGGGACTCAGGCCATAGTGGGGTGGGGAGGTGTGTGCACTATCCTATAGAGTCTATGGAACACAGTTTATGGCGTCTGAAACTAATAAGGAGAATTGAAGTTGTGCGTCCACTCAGTCAGGGTCTTTCCCATCATATTCTGAAATAATCCAGATTTGAACCTCTCCTTTTTTTTTAAAGTCAAGGAGCACTGGTGGCTCATCAGGGAATTACACATTGAGCTGCTCTCCACTAGGTCCGCAGTCCAAACCCACCAGACACTCCTTGGGAGAAAGGTGGGGCTGTCTACTCTTATAAAGATTGCTCAGACAGAGGCAGTTCTACTCTGTCCCAGAGAGCATTTCAACTCTGAGTTGAAATCAACTCGATGACTGTGTTTGTTCTTTTATTTTATAAATTCAATGTGATCTCTGAGTTCAGGAGCATAGAGCGCAGGGCTAACCTGTTGCCTCCTTCCCTCTCTACAACCTCTGTGGGACAGTGGAGCAAGCCAAATCGGAAGCCGCAGAGAAGGAAAAGGAGCTGCTGAGACAGAAACACGAGGAGCAGCAGCAACAGCTTGAGGCTCAAGAGAGGAGCTTCAGGGAAAATATGGAGCAGTTGAGAGAGAAGATGGAGAGGGAAAGAGAAAACCTCTTGAGGGAACAGGAAAAGATGCTGGAACATAAACTGAAGGTAAGTCTGTGCTAGGTCCAGGTAGCCAATTAGACGATGCTCTAATGCCCAATGAAGAGAAGGGTAGAAATAGGAAGCAAAATCCGGGTATCAGAGGGAAACACATCTGGATCCTGCTGAAATCCTCCAATCCACAAGACAAAGCATACGGACTGTTATTTGTTGTCATTGTACAGTAGCTTCATTGCGTCCCATTTGAATATGGCCCTCGTCCTTATAGCTTTCATGATTCTTGTACAGCATCTAAGAGACTTGGGATCAATCCATCAGCTCGTGGCCTGATTAGATTGGCCTGTTATGAAATACAATATTTGCTGCATTTGCTTCTAAATCTGTCTGAGTCACTCTATGCAGCCAGGGTCAAAATGCATTCACTGTCCTGACCTGAATTCGGATGAGCAGTTTTCTAAGCAGTTCTTATTGTTTGTTAGATGTGGGGAGCCATGCTTCCTCAGGTGGAACAGAGAATTTGCAGCAAGTGTGTTATTTCCCGAAATACAAAACCATGACTCTTGATAATTGCATTTTTCAAAAAGTAACACTTGCCCCTTTCCAGATCCAAGAAGAGCTGTTGCTAGAAGGATTTAGAAAGAAATCCGAGGAGCTCAATGGAGAGATAAGTCGCCTACGTAAAGAAGTGGAAAGTAGCCGGCAACGGTCAGGCTTTGCACAGTTCCTGGATAACTTCGGGAGCGCTTTAATGGTGATGCTTCCTGGGGTTGGGACAGTAGTGGGGGCGGGGCTGAAAGCTCTGGGCTCAAAGATCGGATAGGTCAGAATTCCTCTTTGTGAAATTATAAATGAGACTTCTTTTGTTTGTTTCAATAGCATAATCTGGCTGATCACTAAACAAGTAACCTAGTTTCATTCATTAACAGTTTAAAAATAAAGAATACCAAAGTCATTACTGAAGTTTGTGATCCTCAGTTTAAAAAAAATGTTAAAATAAATGTTTTCATGCCTTCAATAGAGTATCATGAATTACTTTATTTTATTTTTACCAAAACATTTTATTAGGAGCTGATTCAGACACTGTACATGCCATAGTTAGATCATAGCAAGTAACTTTGTACAATCACTACCACAAATAGTTTCAAGACATTTTTGTTCCTTCTTGAACTCCAACCCAACCCCTACTTCCTTCCCTACCACACCCCACAGGAACACTTATTCCAGTTATTGTCTCTATAGATTCTCCTATCTTGGATTTCATATAATGGAAAGCACAGAAAAACACATGACAGGGCATCAAGCAGGCTACCAACAGTGACAAGTACCACAGAGACAAATTCCAATAGTGAAAAAAATACACAGAAATGTTTAAAACCAGATCAAGCACAAGGTATATCAAAAGGGAGATAAGTCACAATGTTTTAAACATTTGTGTTAGTCTGGGTGGACTAGAGAAACAAATTCATAGACACTCATATGTGCATAGGAAAGAGCTTTATATAACGAGTAATTGTACATTAAGAATACATCCCAGCCCAGTCCAGATGAAGTTCATACGTCCTATGTTAGCCCATATGTCCAGTACCAGTCTGGAAATTTCTCTTCAGACTCATACAGCACATGTAATGATGCCGAATTCAAGATCACAGGCCAGTGGGTGGAAAGTCTTGTGGATCCAGTGGTGGTGGAAGCATCTCAGTGCTGGCAGGGATCTCTACATGGCTCCTTCAGCTCCAGGGATCTGGTTGCATCAATGTAGCTCCAGACTTGCATCAGGCTTGTTAGTCAGTTAAGTCTTGTAGGAAGTGAGCATGTGTCCCTTCTCCAGCAAGATATGTATCTCCTTAGCGCCTGCAAATGAGGTCATCAAGTTACGACCTGAATGACAGGCTAAACTCCACCCCTTCACTCTTAAGTTTCAAATTGACAGCAGATTATGTAACCACCACAACGTTCAAGTCATATTTATCATTTTAATCTACCGTAATTGTCTCTCTAATACTCTTGTCTGATAATCCCTCAATTATGTTTGAATCACTGACACTACAAATCAAAGGCCCTTATGCTCCAGGGAGATGATTGATAAGATTCTCTACCATAAATTAACAAGAATGTTTCTGAGGTGAGTCAGAGACAGGTAAAAAGCATAGATTCAGGAATGGACTTGGGGCCCACCCTTAATCCTGGCTCCAACCTAAGAACAATTAGTTCTTATGACATGGCTCTGCTTGATACTTACGCTCAAGAAGGAAACACAGAAGACATGGATGCTACAGAAAAGTGTGATGAAGAAATTAGCGGATGCCAGCTATCAGAGAATAGTGTCTTGGTCTTAAAGGTTTGTTTTCAAATAAGCAGCCATCTAAGTGAGACATCAACCAACCCTACAGGGAAGAAGCACACCAGCATCTGTGATCCAAAGATTTTAAATTATATAATCCAAATCCAAAGGAGGGAATAGTATCAGAAGTGAAATTGTGAGATTCTGGTGTGCGGAAGGCTATGGATGACAGTGGAAGCCCAAAATACATTTACAGGATCTACGCAGGGAATAAAATTCAAATAAAATTTTATTTAATCAATAAATAAATGGGAAACAAGTTAGAAGGTACTACCATTATTCAACAGAATAACAACTGTTCATAGAAACAGCCATAAGCAAAACAAAATCACAATGGAAATATAAGGAAAATATTAGTCATTTACATCAGAGACAAGTTGATAATTTCAGTGATAAAAATAATAAGAACCCATTTTTAAATGTAAGAAAATGAAAATGTTTAATTTTGCTCATAATAAAAGTAAGAAAACCCAAAAAGTATTAAGTACCTATTTCATTTTTAAGATGGGCAAGAACACCCTTGATTGACATGGAGTTGGCAAGTGTTTGAGGGAAACAGGCTTGCTGTGAGAATGCAAATTAGTACAATTTGATACCCAGATCTTAGATGCAAGTCTACACTTGATTCGATTCAGCAATTATACATTTCAAAGTTCATGTTATAAATTTATGTGCACAGTATAAAATGACATTTATTCAGGAATATCGGATGAAACATTACTGTCATGCAAAATGATGGAAACAAATTTAAAACCTTTCTGTAGGGTACTAGTAATGTACTCATGGGCATATTCATATAGGCTGTCTCTCCTGACAATAAAGTGAAATAAGAAAGTTCTCTTTGAACTAACATGAGAAAATATCCAAGACTTATCATGATATGAATAATGTAAGGATACAGATGTGTATATAAAACCCTTCACTGAACTTTTAAAATAATGAAGGTGTGTGTGTTAGGCTGGGTTGACTGGAGAAACAAATCCAGTGACACTCATATGTGTAAGAAAGAGCTTATATCAAGAAGCAATGACCTTTAGAAAACATCACAGCCCAATTCAACTCAAGTCCCTAAGTCTGATACTAGTCCGTCAGTGCCTCGTCAGACTCATGGAGCCTCACACAATGATGCTGAGTGCAGGAAGACCACAGACCAGTGGGTGCAAATTCTGTGGATCCAATGGCAGTGGACACACCTCTAGTTTCCAGCAGCAACTAGGGTCAGCCAGCAGGAAGGTGAAGCTGGATATGGGGGGCAGGAGGTTCCCAGGACCCCCCTTATGAGAAGGCCGTGTCCACAAGAAGTTACAATCAGGCTGTGACCTGCTTGACAGGCGAAACTACACCCCGCCAGTTATATATCTTCAAGAGGACATGAATTATCTAACTGCCACAGTATGCATATATTATATACAATAAACTAGTAACTGTGCTTACAACTGGGAATGGACCTGGATATTTGAGCTCAAGGGTGGGAGCATAACTCACATAATGTATTCTGTGCATGTTAGACTTCATACACGGATAATTTATTGCTTAATAGAAAAATAAATAGTTTATAAAATTAAATCTGAAATAATACTTGTGCACGGCAGGGGAACATCTCTGTGATAGAATTAAAGTGTTTAATGTCACGGGAAATAGTGTAAGTCAGTTCACCACAGCAACGCTGCTCCTGACAATAAGGATTTGGAAGGCACAACACGTATATCCTAACTTTGTCTTACATATGGCTTTTTATTCAGACTTTAATACTTTAGTGCCTAATTATCTTTCAGACATAAAGTCCAAAATTTTGCTGAAGTGGTCTCTAATTCCAACCCCCCAAATCACAACATTGGTAAATTAAAAGCAGAATTGGTCTTCAGGGGCTATTTAAAATTTTAAGAAATTCCATAGAGTGCTTTAGACTCTGCTGTGGTTAAAATGAATTCCTTGTAAGCCCCCAAGCTGGGCATATTCTCTCTCCTGCCTTTTCACCCAGTATACAGACTTCTTAAAGCCCCCTGCTTGCCAACCCCACTGTCTTCCACTGCCTGACTTCCTAAGGCAAGTGAAGGTTTGCTTCTGCACCGCCCTTGCGCTGTGATGTTCTTCACTACAGCAACTTGTACATCATTAGCAACTGATATTCCGTATTTAGATCTGTCTTTACTTCCACCATTTTATCCCTTGGTCTTTGTGGGGACCAGCCTCCATAACTGAATGGGTCTGAGGGCGGTTGTGTAATCAAAGAGTAAATTAAAGGAACATTAGACAAGACATGCAAGTGCTCATCCCTGCCAGGTGACTGGAACCAGAGTGAGGGAGGAATGCATTCTCTCACAAGCTTATGTAATCTCGGGCGTGCAGGCCAAGTCACACACATTTGGGATAGGAAGGGGTTATATTAGAGGCATACAAATAACATGAGGGAGATGAGCTGGGGGTGTGCACACAATAGGAATGGGAAGTGCTAGAGACAATCATGTGTCAGGAAAGTACATACATAACAAGATGGGCAGGTTCTCGAGTTTAGATGGTGGCCAAATCTTGGTCCTCTGAGCTGGCTTGACCTTAGGTGTCCTCCAAGGGAACACTCTATGATCCTTCTCAGAAGAGAGCGGGCCATACTTAGGATGGAACAGACAATAGGGTCTGATTGCTTTTGATGGCA